GTTTCTTTTTCGACCAAGTCGCTTGCACGTTAAAAGGGGAGTTCTTGAGCATCGCGCCTCAGGAGCCCCTACTCACCCCTGGCCTTGTCCCAGGCATCGCGACCTGACATACAAGCGACGACTGAGCCTCGCTCGAGGGCCAGGACCTGATGACGTAGAGCATTTTGGCAAGCAAGGAAAAGAGAGGCGAGCCTCGCGAGGGAACACTGGAAAAGGGGCGCAGTCCGGCTGTGTCAGCATCACTTGAAATGCAAAGAACCCCGATTCTCTCACGCACCCCTCAGCCGGAGCGGTTGCCGTGGCGTCGTGGGGAAGTGGGGCGTCCCATGTCCATTCGTGCGCCACGCGTCGAGCCTGGCCCGCAGGCGGTTGGGCCCCATGTTGCTTCGCCCTCCCTTCTTCGCCTTCGCCTCGAAGGAAGGCCGAGTGCGCCGTGGGCCTCGGGGCTACTGTCAGGGCTTTGGGACTGGGGGTACCCAGACCCGGTTGCCTATGGCCCAACGCGTAGATCCATCGACGGCCCGGCGCGACCCAACGTCAAGGCTTCACGAGCAAGACCCTTGCGAGGGCCCTTGCCTCGCGAGGCGAACTACTTCAAGCCCGCCCCCCAAGGAGCGGCCTCCCGAGGAGGCGCCTCCCGAGGGGTGGACATCTCTGGCTTCACCCACCTCACGAGGCGCGCGGTGACGTGAGCCATGACGAACGGAGCCAGTTGGGCACCAACGGGCGCAGGCAAGGACATTTTCCCTCTTTGGTGCTAGAGGGACAAAGCCAGCATGCGGGTTCCCAAGGAATCCCCAAAGAATCCCCAAAGCTTACCTCTTCGGTGCAACAATACGAAGACCACGAGCTCAGCAGAACGGAGGTCATCGCCGAGCCGACCAGCGCGTCTCAACCAGAGGCTTTGCAAACGAAGACCACCTTTAGTCAGGATAGGGTGTACTGCTGTCCCCCTTCAAAATTGGCCATTGTGGTATCCCTTCCCGCCTAGGCCATGAGGGAAGAGGACCAAGGCCAGTATAAGTATAGGCCAGTCTCCACCGTAGAGAGTGGGTGGATCCGGGTCAAGCACTCTTGCTTCCCTTGTACTAGTTCATCTTCATCCTCCTTGCGAGGCAATCCACCACAAAGCAGGAGTAGGGTTTTACACCGAAAGGTGGCCCGAACCTGGGTAAACCTCCGTGTTCCATTCCTCTCCCTTCTCACTCGAGCACGACGGAGCATCGCCGTGGGGTAGTGAGTAGGAAGCTGTAGCTTAGCGGAGTTCTTCGTGCACACCCCAGAGTTCGAATCTTTTTTGGGGTCTACGGGGCCCCGATTCTGACATCTTCCATTTGGAAGGGACACATATAGCGGTACTCAAAGCCACAAATGGCGAAAGCTGGCGCAAATGTGTTGGATACGTATGTGTGTCCATGTCTTTTCAGCGCCGGAGCGAAGAAAAATGGGAGCAGTGTGGTAGTGATTATATCGTGATGGAAGATAATGATCTGCTTAGATCTGGTTGCCGATTTTTGTGTTGCATAAGTCTCCTCGCAAGGTTTGAGGATGATGACACAGAGCTCTGAAGATTTTCGTGTTTTACTGATTGTGTCAGGGTGCTTTGTGTTTTTCTGGTTTATTATGTGTGTTAGGGTGTGCTTGTATGGGTTATAAAGACTTTGTATTTGTTTGTGATTTGAATACAAGAATATTTTCTGAAAAAAAAGATGCATGCATGCTTGTTTCACGGGAGGGAGTTGGGATAGGATTCATTTCCAATCTAGTCGGACGTTAGTCACGTCCAAAAACATTTACTGATGAGCTTTGAATGACTGAAACTGTCCGGACAACGTTTGAGAGGTCAACCAGGCGATCCGCGTTGAAGTTGCCATTAGCCGTTCGTTGTCCAAGTCTCCGCGTCGTCTCCACGACTCCACTTGCTGTAGTTGGTACTGCTGCTACCATCCCATTACCACGCGCCCCTTTCTCTCCTCGCCGAGATCGATACACGGATAGATCTCGCCTCGCCGGCGAAGCGGGAGAGGAGAAGGACGCCATGGGGAACTGCTGCTGTGACGAGATGGGCGCCGGCCGCCACTCCGTCGGCCACGCCGCCTCCTCCGCCGATGCCGCTTCCACCGTGGCTGATCGCTTCCTCCGCTCCCGCGGCGCCGGCGCGTCCACGCAGATCGAGGTACGGGTCTAGGCACTGCTAGTCTGCTACATCTCTTGGTTCGACCTCGTTCGGTGGTGCTCTTGCCTGTGTATGGTGTGGGCTGAAGTGGTTTGTGCTTGGCGAGATCGGAATTCCCATTTGGCATAAGCCAGTTAATCCTACTCCACTAGCGCCCTTTTTTGGTGCCGTGTTCGCATTTTTGTTCTTGGGCGGGGGATTTCTGCAAAAAAAAGATGTTATACCATTTGCGTTATGCAATCTACAAGCCTACACTGAATATTCTAGGGTAAATGCGATGAATATGATTTACGACAGACTTGTACTTGCACTCTGCAATTTTCTGATGTTCTAATCGAAGGCTTCACCAGTTTAAATCTACACTGAATGTTGCTATTGTGTTATGTAGGGTTGTCTATACTATACTGCATGGTGTACCTAAGGCCAGTGATAAACTGATAAGTGGGTACTACCTTGTTCGTGGGCTCCAGATTGGGATACTTTTAGCCATGGGGCAAAGCAGTAGATACATTTGTTTTAGTCATGTCATGGTATTAGGTATTGAATCCCGAACGTTCTTAAGTGTGTTTTGTGGGGGGGTGGAGAAACATGTCTGTTTTTATGTGTTGTTTTGGTTTATTGCTTAATCCATCAATTGTAGCAGTAGAATTTCAATTTCTGAATTGATCGGACCTGTTAACTTTTGCTGTATTATTTAACTTTTGCTCTATGTGACATGTTGAAATAGTTATCTCTCTCCGCATCAAATTTGGGCGATCAAGAATATTTCTTCAAGGTACACTTCTCTTTTGTTGTTCTCGCAATTGTGATTTTGCCCTGTCTGAAATTCTATTGTCATTGGCATCTCAATGTGTTGCTATGACATATCACATGTTGAATATTTGAAATGATTCGCTACTAAGTACCGCTTGTATTCCATCTTTGGTTAGTTATGTAGTAGGATATTGTATATCCACAACTGCAAATGTGCGCAAGTGCAACAATAAATTTACACTTGCAATTACATCGTACCATTGAAAGGGATGAAACGGTTTATTTGCCACTGCTAGCCTCAGTTTTCAAGAAAATGTTGAATTTATCCTCAAGGTGAGAAATGCTGACTTGTGGTAATAAAAGGACATGCCCAAGTATGACAATTAGCATCTTAAAAAACAGAGCTAGATGTACTTCATGGGTGAAGTGTAAATCCTCAAAATTTTAGCGGAAGTATGTTGATGTAGGGTGGAACCCTAATGGTCGATCTTTCATGAATTGGAGGGGCATTCCTCGAAGAACACGACGAACACGGGGAAGAATGGGGAGAAATCACAAGAGGAACACTCAAGAACAAGTCCAATCACACATCCACTAGACTAACAAACACATGGATCCACAAGGTACATGAACAATCAAAGGGAAAGATATAAGGTAGAGTTCATCCCAAATCCAAAGAAGATGGGGTCTTGATGATCTAGATAGATCCTTCCCACAAGGGGGTCTTGAATCCCTCGGGATCTTCTCACATGCTCACATGGAGGTCTTGAACTCCATGGGAGTGGTCTCTCTCTCTCTCTCTCTCAAGAGGAGAAGGTAAGGAGCAAAGCTCAACTAAGATGAGCTATCATATTGCTAACCCTAGAAAGGAGGTGGAGGAGGTCTATTTAGTCTAAGTCACAAAGGGGTAAGTGAGGGGGCGAAATGGGATGGGAGCTCGACTAAGATGAGCTATCATATTGCTAACCCTAGAAAGGAGGTGGAGGAGGTCTATTTATAGTCTAAGTCACGAAGGGGTAAGTGAGGGGGTGAAATGGGTACATGGGCCTCGGCCCAAGTCACGCACGCAGGCATGGTCCAGATGATCCGGGAGGTGGTCCGGATGATCCGGGCGTCGGGTTTCGGATGATCCGGCTTCGTCCGGGCTCGTCCTGTTATCTTCGGGCGCGTAGCCGGATCGTCCGGGCCAGGGGCCGGATCATCCGGGCGTCGGCCAGATCGTTCGGGAGGGGATCCGGATGATCCGGGCAAGTGCAGACTTGTCCGTTCTTCGGTCTTCTTCCATCTTCTCTTCCATGCTTCCCTCGCGGATGGTGTAGTCATACACATGCGCTCGCACTCCCTCTTATTAATGGTGAAGCTCCGGTAATACCTATGCATGCACACGAGAGGAGTGTCAAGTAGTATACCATCCTCGAAGGGGTCAAGTGAACACATGTAAAGGAGATGATTCACCTTCATGTATGTAAAGTAGAGGTCGCACGTGTCACTTGCCAAACGGAAACTTGATATGGTGATGTCCATAGGATGCTCCGCATCATTCCCTCCCCCTTGGGAAAGATCCAACCTCGGATAGAAAACCAAATCACCATGGGAAAGAGATGGCGTCGCCGTGTAGAAGTGGACGATCACCAAGTGGATGTCATCTTGAAGCTCGAAATAGGCACTCTCCAATGTCGCACCATGTTGGGATTCCTTCAAAAGGAGCAAGGACGACAAACACTTGGAAAAACAAATGTGGTTAGCGTTAGTGCAAAATCAAGCATTCAAGTGGTGATTCACTAAACAAGTGTCGTCATCAAGCATAGCATATGGTGTGACATAGGATTGTGGCATGACATATAAGCACATAATGTGAGCAAAATCAAGGTCATCATGGAAACAAGCATGTAAACGTGAGGTAGTGATGCAAATATGTGTGACAAGAGAATAAGCATCTACCTCAAGTTCATAGCAAACATGCATAAAACGCTCAACAAATGGTCTATGGTATGCATATGAATCATTCACAACACCAAAGAAAATGAAGTGTCTAAACACATGGGGCAAGACAATCCGAGCATAATGTGCATATGGTATAGTGAAGATAGTGTGGCACTCAACGCAATGGAAAGAGCAAGTGTTCATCATGTGTGAGGCAATCAAGTCTAGCATGTGATAATCAATGGGCATGGCATATGTGAAGAAATGACATTGTTGCAACCAAACATATGATAGGAGCAAGTAATCCACAAGTCGGATGCAACACACAAGGCATATATATCATGAGACACGGAAATGTGAAAATGATAAGTCGTAGCAAGATCTCTAACATGTGCGCAATCAAGTGGTCCAAGATGACCAAGAAGTCTCATGGTGCAAGCAACACAAGTAGTATGATCCACAATATCCATGCTCAAGAAGGATGTCACCTTGAAAGCGTGTCCTTGTGCATCCTTCACAATGCCGAAGCACAAGCAAATGCGGCGTAGAAGCGAGTCGTGGTAGAATGTATGAGGTTTGCTCTCAATAGTTCGAATGGTCTAACTCACACGAAGTAGAAGTTGACATGAAGTCCAAGTATCCTACACATGCACAAAACAAAGCAAAGAACATATGCACATGGTAGATAAACACATCATCCATCATGATGGTTCTTTTCTCTTGCACATAACCATTAGTAGTAAAAGTGCCTGCATAATATGATGCAACAATCTTAATGTTCATGGCACTAGGCATATGGTGCAAAGAGAGAAGACAAGCATGCTTCACAAGAAATATGTCAAAATCTCCAAATATATGATAGATAGCTATGGGGGCTATCTCATTAGCAAGACTAATAGCATTGTTGCACTCAATACATGGAAAATCATCTAGCATGAAAGAGGCAACATATGGAGATATACGACAAGAAGCAATATGAATCATGTGCAAAGCATGACAATAATGGCTATCAACCGCATGAAATGAGCAAGTATGAATCATGGGTGATGCACTACACAAAGCAAGCATATCAATCATGTCGTGCAAACTAGTGGAGTGAAGATGCAACACACTAGGGCAAATGATGGCAATCATGTCATGTGAGCAAATAGTAGGCATAGGCAATGCACATGACATATCGCAAGTATAAACACAAAGCAATATCAAAGTATCATCATAGGCATGGGGTACAAAGCAAATATGGCAATAACAAGCAATATCTCCACCAAGCTTGCAAATACACATACGAGCACTAGAATCATGAATCATGTGATATGCAAAGCATGGGTAGCCAAAGCATGTCATCCAAATGGAAATGAGCATACATGCAAAGTGAACATGGAAGATGGGCATAGAATATGTAATGGACAATAACCCATAACCATGTGAGGGCCATATAGAAGAAATGCACGAAGTTCTTCTGCAATGGAAACGGTGTGAAAAACAATCCACGGGATCCCAGTTCAACGTTGCTCTCAAGAGCTCGTTTCGTCAACTCATGGGATTGCGAGGTCGACAAATATGTGCGATGACCTACACAAAAGAGACACAAACCAAAGAAAGTGTGTGCGTGGTAAATGTACACATCATCCATCATGATGTGTATGTGCACGTGTGAGTTAGCACAAGATAAGCAGTGCTCAAAGAAATTTGAGGCATGGTATAGGAACATGTCATCCATCATGAAAGAATAGTTGTTATGTATAACACGATGGGGACACAAATAGAGCATGCAAGTATATGGCACAACAATAGCATTTTTATTCATGAAGAGCATATGGTGCACACAATTATTGAGATCATGCAATGGATGGGATGGATCAAAATGTCCTAACATGTATGAGGAAACTATGGGGGTCTCATGAGCAATAGCGGAAGCATAACATGGCAAACAATGCATTTCCGAAGCTAGGTGATCATGTCATGGCATACGATTGAAATGATGCAAAGGGAGCATACCAATATCATTGCAAGAGAAACAAATGTCAATAACCATGGGCTTGTCATCTATGTCATATGTGCAAATTGGGTTTATTTTGATGGCATATGCGTTGATCTCATATGTGTACAATGAGATTGCAAATATGCCATATGGTTGGTCTCATGCATAGCATATGACACGTCAAGCGGATTGTCAAACATGATGTGACCGAGAGAATTATCACAAGAAATCCTATGCAACATGGCATCACAACTAATAGACTTCACATGGCAATCATCAAACTCATCATAAATGGGTAAATCATGGCATGGGGAAGTCGAACTAGCATGAAGCATGGCAATAGGTGGATCAACATCATGCAAGCAATCAATGTCAAGAATGTCCACTAGTGGGACAAGAGCATGACCTTCACCTATGTTACCTTTCTCATTCCACTCATGTGGTGTAGGTGAAGTGGTAAAGACCAAATCGTGGTCATCATCTTCATCTTGATGGAACCATGTGGGGGTGCATCATAGTCCACCATGGCCATCGTCTTGTCCAAAGGAAGGACGAAGTCCTTGAGGATCGAGGCGTCATTGTATATGGGACCTAGCATCAAATGAGAAGACACAATAGAGGTAGTGGTTAAGTTGTTATAAGTGCAAATGGCCTCGCAAGACCTATCAACTATCTCACTCTCTCTATGTGGTGGCTCACTCACTCCCTCAAAATAGGTGCACTCAAAGTCACATATGGTGGAGTCACTCATCTCACTCAAGTGGCGGTGGTTGTGGCTCTCCTCACATGGGAATTGTGGCATCTCATCATATATGGGGCTAGTGGTGAAGTCACTCTCACTCTCAATATGGTGGCACAAGTCTCTCAACTCATCATCATAGGCCGCCATAGTCGAAGGGAAAATCCCGTGCTCAACCATCTTGTCACTGTCGCCGTGGATGAAGGCTGAAGATGGAAGCATCATCCTTGCTCGCCACTATGTCGCTGGCTTCCAAAGCATGTTCCATGAGAGGCTCCGTAGTCGTAGTCGTAGTCATCGCCGCACCGTCTTCAAAAAGAGTTGTGGTAGACTCGGCATCGTCAATATGCCACAAAGAGGGATGGTGGTGAAGTCGAAC